AAAGATTTTAAGTTATCTGAAAAATAAAAATTCTACCAAAAGAACTGAGCATCAAAAATTACTATGAAAAACTTAAAGAAACGGAATGAGACAAGAAAAATATAAAAATTGATAAGCATGATTATAATTTATTTATTTGATACTTATATATACTGAAGGGTAGTGGTTAAAAATACAATAATGTATACTTACATAAAGTAGATAACACGTTATGTAAATAAGTAAAATAGAGAAAGGTAAAATGGTAAGACTATGTTGGTTGAACAGGTATAACATTTTGTGGAAAGGCTGGTAATGACCATTCGTGTTGGGAAGGGTAGGAACAGAGAAAAGGGAATAGTGTTTAATAGATTGGGAAGGAATACAAAATGAAACAGTGGCTAATAAATTGAGGGAATTAATAGTATCTTCGAGAAGTGAGGCGATGAACATGAAGTCAGTGAAGTTGGCCAGAGTTGGAACATTGAGACTTCAGCGGATAAAGGTGTAATCACGAGGTGAGTTCTACATTTTTCATAAAAAGGTAATAAAAGAAAGGAAGCGATTTTGAACTTGTTCAAATTACAGCTGATCACACGAAAAGTATCCATACCAAACGACCGATTCATACTCGGGGATGGAACGTACAAGGCTAAAGTAGAGAGTACGGAGACAGGTGGCGGAAGTGAAGCAAGTTGTGTTGCGCTTGATGAACAATAGGATCTTGAGCCTCCTCCAATCAGTAACATTGATGTGGTATTTGAATGAGCGGGTGGGTGATAGATAGAAACCTAGGTTTTTTTGATAAGATCAACATGTAGAAGGAGGAGCTACCAATAGAATATGAGTGTAGTATGGGGCTACATTTTTTTGAGAAAGTCATCGAGTGACATTTGTCAAAGTTGAGAAGTAAGTTCAGGTGTTCAGCCCAAATGAAGAATGCATTTGGTTCAGCTTGTTTTGCAAACAAATTTAATGTCATTGCAAAAAAGAGAACCTTTACAAAAAAGAAACATTTATTCATTGAAATAAAAAAATGATAACAAGATGGGGACTCAAGTGACCTCTTTGAGGAACACTAGAGGAAAATAATGAAAGTTCTGAGACGGCTCTGTTGCAGGTAACAAATTGTCTACGCTATGTTAAATAGGACAAGAGCCAGGAAATAAGCATATAGCCGGTACCGAAGGAGTTAAGTGTGGCAATGCGAAGCCCATGGTCCACTGAATTAAACGTTTTTTTTAAGTCAGTAAAAATTGTGTCAACTTGACTATTGGCCTCAAAACTGTTTAGTATGTAGGTGGTGAAGGAAATGCTGCTGGTGATGGTTGGCTTACTAGGGTAGAAACCCTGCTGAGAATCTATAATTACGTGGTTGAGATTTCTTTTGATACAAGAATAAACAATAGATTCAAAAGGCTTGGCCGGGGGGGGGGGTAAAAAAAAATAGGTATGTAGTTGAAAACATCAAAGAGGTCACCGCCTTGAATATGGGGGTAATAGAACAGTTTATCCAAACATCTGGGACAATGCATTCGTCCAGGGAGCACCCGAATAGAATGAAGACTGGAATAGCGATTGCATACCTGAAGTTGTAGAGTAGAAGGGCATCAAATATATTTTATTTTTAAATCTTTTGAATTGTAGATATTAAATTTCAAGATGCAAAGAAAGGTGACCTTTGGATTCACTAGTATTTTTTAAATATATATTTTTTTTATTGTTTTAATAGGCAATAGAATTATTAATCTAAATATTTTGAAAAAATCACTGTATATATTAAATATAATCATAAAAATAAGAGTTTCAAGTATCCAAGATGGATATTTTCGAATTAAATAAAATAACCTAAATTATTATTCTTGGTTTAAATATCCAATTTCGTCAACATTTGGACTTCGATTAATGTCTATTAAACAAGTTGTACTTATGTATTTTTTTTTTTAATTGTTGATGTTTACTAAGAAATACTTTTCGACTTATGATTTAGGAATTCTGTAATACATGACCATTGACCAAGTTTTAACTATAACAATTTAAATGTAATAAATTTTCACTACAAAATAATTTCCGTGATTTAAAATAAATGTTGTCAATATTTGAATATCAAACATTTATAAATAAATATTAGAAGAGTAAGTCCAAAGAAAAAATACGGTTTCTCATAAAGTTGTAACTCACGAGCACTTTCGTCAAATCTACAGCAAACCAATATCTAAAATTAAAATAAGAAAATATGTTAAGCATAAAAAAAATGTGTTGTTATGTACAAACTATAACCGTAATTTTGTTGATCTGATCTGTTTTCATGAACTGTTACAATGCATATGGTCTAATAAATTACGTAGTTGTTTTAAATTCGAATTAGGATGAGTTTAAGCGAACATTTTTAAAAAACAAATTTTACAGCAGTATCTATTAAAATACCTTTTTTATGGAAAAATAAAATTAAGAGTGATCAATAGTTCTGAATAAACAGAATTCATATTAACTTATAAAATATAAATAATATTAACAGGTATCGATAACAGAAATGATTATCATATTACAAGTGGTTGGTTTATAATGTAGAAACAATACTAACTGTCTATAACATAATAATATTGTTACTGTATATTTTTAAATATGAGTATATGAAAAATAAAATAAGTAAGTACACAAATTCAAGTATGGAACAAAAAAAAAAAAAATAGGAATTATAAATGAAAATCAAACTGTAGATCATTTTTAATGCTTCATAAAAAAACAATAATTTTAATCATATCTTATTGTTACCACTTACCTGTCCAAATACATGTTCAAGGTAGCAAGCCCAGATACACCTTTATAATTCACATACCGTATATTTATGAACGGAAAGTAAAATAAACATAAAGATGACAACAAGGGCAGTTTTCATTAGCTAATGAAAGTAAATATACAAACGGGATTATCGTTTAACGGAACGGAAACGTTTTAATGGCACCCAATGGGTAATGTTACAATTTACAAACCCGTGTTCTATGAAAAAAACCTAAAGATAAAATAAAAAAAATCACTATTAATAGAATTTTATTTTTAATTTACCAAAATGTATACTGGTAGATCGTTATGATCCAAACAAAAACAATTAACGATTGTTATTATTTTTTTGTTCATTTATGATTTTCAACATCTACTCGTGCATAATTTTCTCATTACACTCCTTATAAAATATGCAGTACAGATATATTCCTAATTTTTAGGGAGATCCTGCAAACAGGTGTACGTATTACAAGGTTCACGCTGTCAAACTTAACTCGAAAGCAATATTATCATTGAAGAGACTGAAAAAAAAATAACAAACTATTTTTTTTTAGTGTTTTTCTTCGCTGATTTTTTTAGACTATTGGGAATTGTGAACTTTTAAAACACCCAAAGTACAATCTACGCCCCAATTTAGAATCGATTGACATTCTATATGAAACTTTTGGAACGGGTTTACCACCATAAAAGTGTTTTCTGAAAAATAATAATAAACTGAAATCTGTAAAACCAATAGCTTCTTCTCTCCACACGTGAAATAGAACACCAAACACTAAAAGTTTGAAAAAACAATTCAATATTTATTTTTCAATGCATAGTGGGTTTAATTTGGATACTGAATGCTTGTGTATTCGCTGTAAAAATAGTTTACGAAAATCCCCCAAAATGTCTTTGACAATGTTTTAGTATAATATGAATAAATTAATGTTTGAATATATTTATGGTGATGACATAGAATGAAAAGATCTTATTTTTTAAAAACCTGAATATATTAAGTGGATAACATATGATTTAACAACATATTTTATATTATTTACTCATTGACGTTCATTTCATGTTTTTGGGCGGTAATAGGTATCTATATTACTTAACAAGAATATAAACCCTTTTGTATTACGTATTACTAATATAAAATAATGTAAATATATTTTGCATCATAAACCATATAATACAACTTTATAAATTCAAATAAAATATTATACCGTTACGAAAAAAAAAAAAAAATACAATTTAATTTTTGATTATTTTTTCATATTAATAAATGCAAGCTATTAAAAATTCAATTTGGGTTAAATTTATGTCTATTTGTTCATACTTAATACATACAAATTACGAGGCACATTTAATATAAAATTGTGGATGTGTAAACATATAAAATATAAAATTATACATTCGTGATAGGTAGTTACTGAAGAACATAATATTATAATTCGATTAACGATGTACTGATAATATTATAATTGGAGTGTGAACCTAGCTTACATGTAAGTAGTACCTTTTGACTGAATGCTATACTGTATGATACATTGCTGTTATTATTGATGGTTATTGGTTTGAGTTTTTGACCACGTTTATCCGTTTGTTATGTCACGTCGTCTAAATTTTAATCGTGACAGCTCAAAAGAAACCAACTATATTTAATTTGCATTATATTATCAGCAGTCGCATGCTCTGTGTGCGTGATGTTCGATGGAGAAATAGTGTCTTTAAAGATGTTTGTGTTTGAACATTGAATGTAGGGAGTCCACATCCATATTCTATATTTCTAAAAGTATTTTATATCAATAAATAGCAAAAGGATTGCTAATTATTATAATAAACAATAAGAAAAAGTAAAGTAAGTTTGGTACAAAAAAAAATGTAATTAATTTAAGTTATAAACGTAGTGATAAGATGGTAAAGGCTGATTTTAAGGTCGTGACTGTGTCGCCTCCCACTGAGAACCTCCCGGGCCTCTCAACGGCTCAATATCCCAGCAGCATAGACGATATTATTTGGACATTTTAGTTTGTTATGAAACAACAGGGTTTTAAATAATTTTACTTGTGTTAATTTAGCACTTTTAATAAGTTCAGAAAACATATTTATATAGGTATACACTTACTTATAATTCATCACTAAGAAGTGTTCCGAAATCGCTATTTTTAAAAGATAATACATCGTAATATTATTACTTTCATCGTTAGTTTTGTACTTAAATGAAAGTTAATAATAAGTTTAAAATCATTCTTTTTCAGTGACCACCAAGCTGAATAGTGCTAGTAATCGTCAGAATCCGGCAGAGAACAGCCCTACTTCTAGTCCAGCGTCTCCGCCAGAAGATAATACAAATAAACAACCGACTACAGCGTAAGTCATTTAAAAAAATTACCAAATCTACAATCATAACTCAAAGTATTAAGTTTTAGTTTAAAAAAAAAAACAGTATTCCTAAATTCATAAAAATATTGTAGCATATTATCTAAAAGTATGGTTCTTATAAGGATTGTATTTTAATTATAATATAAAAATATACTTTCAAATTCAAATAAACTAATATTTGAAGATGTTAAAGAAAACTAAGAACAATTTGTTAAAATATTAATTAATATACTAATTAGAAAAGTTGTTAATGAAGTGAGGACGTTTAAAAATGTCAGATTTATTAAAGATTTAATGGCAATCGATTACTTACACTCTGTTTCGAGCTTAGATTAATTAATATTGCAGTATATATTGCAAATTCATAATATTGTTGGTAAACAACTAGTGAGTGTATAATATCGGGTATCGAACTCGTATTACGAAACATAAAGCCCTGCCGGACTTCAGCTGAGACCAGGTGTTGAGCATTCATCTCGATTCGAATGAATCGGCTCAGCTGCATTTTGTGGTCTATTGTTGTTACTTCATTATAAATAAACTCATTTTGTATTGAACCGTCGAATTAAATATCGACTCAGAACGAAGCCGTGTTTAAATAGAGCCTGCTGACGATTCCTCGGATTCAAGCTTATGTTGGTATTTTATTATTCATTTGTTTGTTTACCAAGTCTAGTTAAGCTATAATTTGAAAGAGAAAAATTAAATCAAAATCAATACAATTTTTTTTTGATCTACAAAAATACTCAACAATTAGTTCGTTAAAAAAAAATAATATGGTTTTTTACCGTTATCAATAATCAATTTTTTACTCCAATTATTAGAATGTAAAATTACGTGATTGTAAAAATGATATGTTTTTTCTTTTGATAGTCGAATAAATATAAAATTAAATAATACTCAACAATATATAATGCGTTAAATTGTTATTTTGACAATCAACGATAACAATGCTACGCTATAATTATTATACTTTAAAATATATATAATGACATTAAATACAATCAATCATATCTGAGCGTGTATTAAAATTGTTTATAAATTATAATTAGCGGTTTACAAAGTTTAGGACGTTCTTACGTCGTGATTAAACCAATTAATTGAAGTAAAGTCTTTAGAAATACTTCCTTTTCAACTTTGACTTTAGTGAAAACAATGTCACGTGTCTTCAGTCTTGCGAATACGGTGTTCGTTAATTCATTATTATAAATACAAAAAATTGCTTTAGCTAACAGCTTTGATAATCTCATACACAATAACAAATTTTAAATAAGCTTAATAATAATGGGATTTTGAAACTAAGGTTGTTATATGTTTCAATATCATGGTATTTTAAACTCGCTTTCTATTCATGACAAGTAAAACAATTTTGTTCAAATGTTGGGGGTTAATTATCCAAAAATGAGTTGGATGATTTAATTGTGCTTTTAAGTCATACTTTTTACATTAATTAGGCTGTCAAACATTTGATCATATTAATTTTGACACTATACATTGTAGTAAACATAATATTATATTAAGTAGGTACATACACGTTTGTATTTAAAGTTTACACTCTTGTTATTGTACCTATGTGTTATTTATTAATTTAATGTCTGAGTATATGTACTACTCAACTAAAATTGGTAAAATGTAATTTAACACGATATTCCAATATCGATTGATGCGTCAAGTTATTTAAATTAACAGCCAAGTTTTTATTTGATCAATTGATTAATAAAGCATTTAACGGTTTATAAACGGAGTAATTCAATAATAATGCTTACCATAATTTTTCCATTTAATCATTTTTTATATAAATGCTATTTTTTGAAGTTTTCAAATATATTTCTTAAATTTTTTTTTTAAATTCCTATAGATTTCTTGTACTACTCAAGGAGTGTCTTGAGTCCTAAGATGATAGAAACTTCTGTTTTTTTTAAAAATTATAAATCAAAATTTTTACTGTAAATTAAATAGTGGCTATATTTTTTTAAACGACGATGCTCCAAATTCAAAATTTGAACTACTAGTTATACTTACTAATTAAAATGTTTATTTTAATGATTAATAGTCTTTAAAAAAATGGTTTCACAAAAGTATGAAATGGATGTAATATATTGGGTCTGGGATTTATCACTTTTACCACATTTTTACAAATTCATAATTTATATAAATGTTGATGAATTGAAATAAATTACAAATGTTCTCAAATTACCATTGCCATATACCATGTCTTCCAAACCCATTTTCATGAGTCTATAATATAAAATATAAGTTATAGTACACAAAGCTAAAAGTTCAAACACAACTTGTTAACATTTTGATTTTGATACATCATCAATTGTAGAAAAATTACCGGCTTAATAATTTACAGTTGAATAAAGGGTCTCACTTCAAAAACAGGAGTTTTTATCCCCAATGGACACTCCTTAAGTAGTACAAAAAATCTCAATAGTTTGAAAATATGGTCTTTGAGTATACTTGAGTATTACAAAAATCATATTTCGAATAACTGTATTATTTTAAAAGAAAAATGGGCAGGGATGGGCAAGATACTCAAAAATCAGTATCGCGATACTAGATACTAGATACTAGATACTTGGATTTGGAGTATCGAGATACTAGATACTTGATACTTAAATTTTAAATATTTCGATACTCGACGCATTTGAAAAAATTAGCCATAGCCTATGACGCATATGATTTTTTTTTAATTTTATTTATACACAATTAGGTAGGTTGTGAATCTAGACAAAATGCATTTAACTTTAAATTTCCAAATATTAGTTAAGTATAAATATATTATAATAAGTCAATCGCTTAATATTAAATGAATAAATAATAATAAAAATAAATTATAGGTGTCATGTCGAATAGCGTATATAACACGACAATAAACATTAAATCCATTTAACTTTAAAATTTCAAATATTAATTAAGTATAATATTATAAATATATTATGATAAATATATTGTTAAATTACATGAATAAATAATAATAATAATAAAATACTCTATATTTCATAAATATTGTATCTAACATACTTGTATCGAAGATATTGCCCAGCCCTGAAAATGGGCGAGCACGGTTAGTGAAACACTCTGTATATTATATAAGTTTTGTTTTATCTCAAATTGCCTAAAGTTAAATATTCCTGAAAGCATATTTTTACACGGTGATATAATAATCTTGTTCACCGGAACAAGTTTTTAATCTTTACGACTATTCATATTTTATTCTCTAATGATTTTATACTAACCAATACCGTTATTAATGATATTTTATTTTTCACTTATTAATCTTTTTGAGAAACAAATCTGCAAATTGTGAAGCCAACGCTTAATGTTTAAAAATTCAGGTCAAGGATCGGAATCATCTGAACAATACAAACCGTTTAAACTTTCAAGAATATACATTTTAAAATACATATTATAGGCAACAATACATTTAGGTTTATCTTTGTGTACCTACAAATTTTAACTGGTCGCGAAGATGTTATACATTTTTTTAAATGTTTTATATAAAATATTTATCAATAAATACATAAATACACCATATTTTGTATATAAATTATGATCCAAAACGATCGAGTTGTTGTGATTGTAAAAAAATTATAAAATGCAATAGTTAAAATTCAGAGTTACAGAGTTCGTAGAAACTACATGTGACACAAAAAAATTAATAATGGTTTTGAAAATGTAATTTCGAGTAAAACCAATCTGAGTTTTAAAAAGGAATACATTTTAATTTAAAAGAAGAACACCCACGATTGCTTGGAATACATTTTTGTATGCAAATAGTCCCTCTGGTTTAAACTTTAAACACCTACACAGGGATCAAAACGATGTTGGATGTATGCCCACATAAAATGATTCTGATAATAAAGTAAAGGGAAATATTAAATTATTCTAGCAGATCGATAAACGCTCCGTGTAAACATGGTGTTATTTTATTATAGTCATTAAAGTTTCGCAGCCGTGACAATCCTTGACTTGGTATAATATAGAGTTATTAATCATTTACAAATTACAATTCGTAAAATATTCAAATATTTTCACCAAATTATTTTTATATTTTAAGCTTTCAAACGATTTAGCTGTACCTACCTACTATATAATGTAAAAAGAGACTAATAAATGTCATATATATGTATAATTTATACACACCATGTACTTATTAGTATTCTAGTACACTACTTCCATTAGCCGGTATGACTATTTAATGGTAAACAATGTTTTACCTGTAAATAACTAAAGTAAACAAAAAATACAAAAATAAAAATCGTAAATCAACAAATCTAACCGATATCGTTACGAAATAATTCAGTTATTCCTTGTTTATTATAGGCTAGCGTTAGGCTAGCGTTGTTGTCTTAAATTTTTTAGTGATATTGATTTTTATGGAAGGCTTTGGATCCCCTTTTCACATTTTGCGCAAATCGATTTTGTATGCACGATTACTTGACTACCGACAATATTTTATACCATGATGATGACTTACTACAGTTTTTGGTTAACGTCTGTTGAAATTTTAGAAAATAAAGTGAATAATATCTTGGTTAGTCTTGGCCATCCCTCGTTCTAAGTGTGCCACCGGGATTAGAGTTGATGGTCAGAGGTGGAAAGCCGACGACTTCCTGCTCGGGGGACTAAAACTAAAACCAAATTCAGTCGAAATCCGTGACCAGTGCGTTGTTTAGTACACAAAAGCATCAAAGACTATAATATAACTGGTTTTAGATAAATCATAGATTTAAAACACATAGGTATAGTTCTAATACAAATTAGAAATGTTGGCTTGATGAGACGCGGTCGTACGCTCAATCTGCGGCAACGCTATGAACGTACGTACCGGCTGTCGTTACTAGCACTCGGATGGGTGACCATCCGGGTTTTTAGCAACACATCCTTGCCACACATAAAAATGTGTTCCTACCAATCGCCCCCCCCCCACATACACAAAGTACCAGGCAAATGACCTTAGTAGTTGAAGCCTTAATACAAAA